GTCGCCCCGCCGCAGGGCTGCTTGATTAAGGCGCTCTTGGATTCCGGTCTCGGCACGGGTCAGCCAGCTTCTCGGTACGCTGCGGACCATTTGTTTGATAGCGTTTTCGGGAAGCTCTGTACGTTCTTGAGACATGCGAGGGAGGCGAGCGAGACGGATGGCGCCCGTTTGTCGGACCGGAGCGGGCGGCCCGACTGAGGAGCTCGTGCGGCCGGCGTAATGGTTCAGGCTCTGTTGCCGGCCGGACGTCGGTGGGGCGCGCCGGTGGGGCAGCGTCCAGTGCTGCTCGGAGAATAGTCTGGCTTATATGAACATCACGTATGCCACTTGTGGTTGTGTATATTCGTATTCGTACACATTCACATTCTACGAAGAGGCCACGTCCGACATGCACATTCAGGTTCTTGGGTTACTGTTCATCGACCTTGTCAGCACCCCTGCAAACGCCTTTTCAAAGCGGATTTGGGCTCTCCAAAATTCTGTCTCCGCATGCCACAACCACATTGCAGGTAGGTAGGGCACACCTTGCTCAAGCCACATTTTCGTGGATTCAGTCTCAGACCTTTCAGACCATGGCATTAGGTGAGCATGCGCTCTGAAAGTATCCACCACGCAGAGCTACAAGCAGAGGAGTTCCGTGAATTTCGTCATCCTATCGTGGATCATAAGTTACACAGTGCTTATATTGCACAGCCAAGCAACGTGCACAAAGCATCGCGCAATCGCGCGGTAGCCGCGTCAACCAATTCTGAGAGACTTGCGAGTTCTGCAAGACCGAATCAAACCTTGATGAGATTTCTTCGTACGCTACCGTGCAAACGCTGCGGCTGTTGGTCACCACGGCGTCACGTTAGGCTGTGTGTCGTCTTTGTTCCCTGCTGCAGGGTGCGAACCATTCAGCAAGGTGCGCTGTTTGATTTTTGGAAGCATCCATGGACTGGTTTTGAGAGTTCGACGTTTGTCAGAAGGGCAAAAGTGTACGACACGTGCAAGCGCACCAGACCCTAAAAACAGACACCAGCCAAAACACGCCGTCGGCAAGACGTGGGTGTTATTGACTTGCACCCAGTCTGGTCTTGAAAACGACTGAGCTCGGTGAACACGTCACATCCGCGGACAGGCCGTCCTACGTTGGCGATCCGCGACGTAGAGATGAGCGCTGACCAAACCCGAAACCTGCGGGGGCTAGATCGTTTACGGTTGTCCTTGCGGAACGGGACGATGCTTCAGAGCGGCTGGTGATGCGTTGGCGGAGCAGCTCGGGGGCGCTGCTGGCGTGCACTAATTTGTGCATGGTTTGTAGTCACGCTCCGCAAGCAACCCTTCCTCCCGGAGCGATTGAAGCTGAGTCAGCGTCTGGCCACTCTATCGCGGTTTCCAAGGTCCGTGACCATGCGGGCATCGCAAGTTGATACACGTCCGCAGTCGCTTCAACTGGGTGATTGCGTGTAATCACTTCTCGACGTGTTAACATTCACGATAATGACATTCCGTAGTCCGTCTGCCAGAAGGAGGCTGTGGGCGCGCGTGTCCTCTGGCCGATGTAAACAGACATGGAGAGACACCTTGCTCTCAGTCCTCTCAAGAGACCGTCATGCCTTGTCCAGCATGACGTTCTGAGCAGGTCACCATGTTTTCACTCTATGTTCCCTGACAACTCAGATGGGTCGCTAACATTTCGGCTCTTGCACCCGCAGTTTTGTCAACATAACCAATGCCTGCTTGACAGCGTCGTTGAACAAGAACCTCGTTTTAAAGAAAAGGTCGATATTTGTCGACATGCATCAGGTTTGGTATAATAAGGGTCTGCAATGTGTTTTGTGCCGTCAAACACGTTGACCTGTGATATCACACTTTTAAATTACTGCTTGTTTTAGTACGCATGCCTCGAAGCACTCTTGAATCAATACTGTCATTAATGTCTCCTGATTGTCGTAAAAGCTAGAAATGCACAACCGTTATCATTTGTTCCCTGACTTAGCTTTGACTTAAACAACACAGCGCGTTTTATCGATGAGCTTTTCTCGGTCGTTGCCGTGTTCATCAAGTTCTTTAGTTCGCCGGGTCCACTCTCTTACGACAAGACACACGCTGAGTTATGTGAGCAGCTGATGGGCGTGAGCCACACTTTGCTACTTATGTCTCCAGACCTCTCTGTATGCTACAACCCATGTTGACCACGAAATGCATTTCCTACAGTATGCAACCAATTGGATGGGATGCGGCGTTTGTGCCCTATCCCTGATTTGTTTTAAGTTTTGACAAACTAGGATCGATTAAGCACGCAATGGTTCTTAGCAAGTAGTTCGTCCAAAAAAGAGATGTCTGTGTGGCCAACCAAAAATCTGAATTGGTTTACGGTTCGGCTTTTATCCAGCATTTTGTTTCGCCCTGATTTACATCATCACTAAATTGTGCATAAACGCGGATACACAAATCTCACATCATGGTTCCTAACTCATTAAAGGCTTTAACAACTAAGAAGAAGAAGTGACTGGGTTAAGGAAGCTCAGTTAGCACGTTCGTCATGTCATCAAATGTGCTCGCCTGTCAAAGCATACAAGTAACACACACTCTGATTGTTTAAGAATCGTGCGAGGGTTACCTTAGTGCAGTGGTTGACCTGTGCGTATGAGCAGCCAAGAGTGGGGGTTCGATTCCGCGTAGTGCCCACCCCGCTAGAGTGACAGGCAGGCGACGTCATACATCCTTAGCAGCCGAATGCGACTTGAAGACCTAATAAAGACGATGGAGGCATTCGCGTTTTCTCCGACTCTCGCCAAAAGCTGATGGGCAGTGGGAGACGTGTGAGTAGGCCAAAGCTATTGCTACCATCATGACAATGACCGAGTTAAACAAAACAATTGGAGCTTGATTGTAGCTGTAGAAGTTGCTATTAGAATCCTACGAAAAAATCGTCGCATTATTGATGAAGTATGCCACATAAATATTTAAAATGATGCACTATATTATGCAATGGTACAATAAGGTTTGACGTGAACGTGATGAATGCAAAGACGTTGAAGAGCCATTCGTCTCAGCATCTCTGTCACATTATCCTTTCAGATTGCTTAACACTGACTCCTACTGTGCGGATTCGTTCTCGCCACAGGCATCTGGACTGGACCGTCTTAAAACTGCCCATGTTCTCCGCCTACCGGCATATTCATTGAATGACATGGGCATTTGAATAATGAATGGAACATGGACATTTCAAATAGTGTCCTTCCTCTTGGTGATGACTCAGTCTGAGGTTAATCTGCTGGCACGCTTTCTGCGGTGCACACGGGCCTCCCACAAGTTCCTTCGCATCGGTGTGTGTAATTGGTAACATCGCCACCTCGACTGCGTCACACTCATGTGTAAACCCGAGCAGGTGGAAGTTTCCCGTGCCCGGAAATCAAATTCAGCAATGGATGTTCCATTTACGTGACATGACTATGCGCCAAAAAACCTGCTTAGATCTTTAAAAAAAGCCCGGACGTTTCATAAAAACGAGCCCGGGCGTTTCAGCTCTTGGCGCTTCATTGATAAGCATTCAAGCGCACTGGGCTTCCCTTGGCCCTTTCAGTAACAGTTGACACGAAACCTCGTCCATAAACAGACACATGGTCTCGGCTCTCTTAGCTTCGTCAATAGCAGTTGATAGCGAAGCTCATGGGCAAACATCCGTGCGATATTGGCGTTCCTCACCGCTGCAAACAGGGAGCAGTTGGCGCCGTACCGTGACATCAGCAGTCTGGTGCGGGTGCTCGGCTGCAAGCCTCAATGAACTAATGTATCTGTAGGAGGACGGCGCCAGAACTGCAGGCCGTCGAAAATGCCTCACTATTGTCTCTAAGAGCTTAGGTCATGCAGACGCGGCCTGTCGCGCCAGGACATAGAACGCTACCTGATTGCAAGGCCTAAGTAGCGTGTAGCGTAGGCAGCGTTTGGCTGTCGCACCGCACCAGCAGAGGTGATGGCTGGGCGGCAGCCAGTGCACGTCCCGAACGGCAGCCCATTGTCCAGTGTGGTGGGCAGCCGGGCGTGAGCAGGAGCCCACCTTAGAAGACCAGACCACCCGGTTCGTACTCTGACGCGGTCCACGCGGGCGGCGGCCCGTTCTAGGACACCGGCAGCCTTTGTCGGTGGCCGCCGCCGCCCAGACATAAGCACTGACCAACGTTATCACGTGCCTGGCGCCTGCGCCCGCTCACCGCCTGTCATAACATGGGCACGGCGGCCGCTTGACGGCGCGATGGCAGCACTGACATCGGTCGCCCCACCGCGCTATCCTGCGCCAGGATCGGCCGCCTGGCAGCAGGGTCAAACTTCCAACGGACCGGCACCGACAGCCGCCTGGCGGAAATACCGCGGGCCGGTGGCCACCAGCCCCCGCTGCGACGTTGTGGGGCCCGTGCGGCGCTGCTGTTTACCAGACGGCGGGTACACATACAAGGGCGGGCGCAGGACCATGCAAGGGCGACTTGACGCGGCAATGGGCACGTGCTCAGTAATGACGTATGCTGTCCGTGCACTGGTGACGCACGGCTCGCCGACTTGCAGTTCACGGTGCAGGGTGATCTTTCCCTCCCTTTCCCCGCGCATGCAGCGGTCGGAAGGCGCTGTGCTCCGCGACTGACGCATCGCCAGCTTTCCATAAACGTGTCCCCCCGCTCGCCGCCGGCCGCTGTCACGGCATCGCTAACCGCGACGACGCCAGGCCGGCACGCGGACGCCGGCGGCCGAGCAGCACGCCACCTGTCTACCGACCGGTGCCACCTCTCCGCCGACCGGGTGACCTAGATTACGCGTCAAGCGTCGGGCCGGCCGCGAGAGTGCGTGCCGGCGGTCAGGTGAGGGGGGCGTCGCGGTGGACGCGTGGGGACTGGTGTGGACGCGTGCACGCAAAATTGGGATGCCTTTGAAGATTTGCTCCGAACATTTTGAGTGGATGGATTTCTGGAATTACTGCGCGTGCTGAGCAGGACGTGTTGCGTGAGTCCTGCCTTCATCGCCCGCTCGTGAAATTCTGGGTCAACGGCCGGATTTCGTGGCGAAAACTTGGTGTGCCGCTATGTTCGGCAAGGTTTGTCCTGTCCTCTGGCGTGACGTGAGCTTTAGCCTATCCGCTGCTACCAGCCACGGGATATGCCAATCAGGTACTAATAGCAAATGACTAAAGCCACTGCGATCCATCCTCATTCCGGGTGTCTAAATCAGAAAACGAGCGTTCTAGCCAAGTGAGCTATCGGGGTGGATGATGGACTACTTGATTGTATGATTCGTAGATCATGTGTGGTTGATTCGAGTTCTTCCCTCGGCTTTAACTGACAAACAATGGTCTCAACGCGCGAGGATGGTTTTCGTCAAGATTTTCTGCCGTTTCCTTATTTGGATGAAGGTAATTGGTTCTGAAAGCAGAGCAATCTATTGCCCAAGTACGCTGCCACTAGCGTGCCATTTCGTTGACAAACTTGTGAGAGTCTGGCACCGGCCTAAGCGTTGCCATTCTATGCCTTCTTTTGTCATGTTGTTCTGCGACTCTTCGGTTGATGCTCGGAAGTTCGTTGGATGAGGCCAATGAAGGCAGCGTAAATCCATTTTGGTGGGTGTTGTCCTTCACGTATGTACACTTCACTAACATGTTGTGCTCAATTTTGCAAACAATCGCTATGTGTTCGTGTCGTCCATTAAAGTGTTCATTTCATCCATTTCGTTCAGGACTTGAATTCCGACCTCACGAGCCAACGCACAAACGATGCTTACCCGATGCTGAATGGTCCACATGCCCTCTAAAATAGCACACATGCCTGCAGCGTGTTGAACATTTCAATAAGTACGCCTGCGTAGCTGAAGCAGCACGCACGCCAGCGGTAGGCTAAAATATTTCAGGGAAACGTGTCCAGCGGTGCCCGTCCATTGCGAAATGCTGCATACGCCCGTACCTGCCAGCACGATGTCCAGCATAATGTCTGGAGACCGACTCGAGGTTGGCTGGCTGGTAGCGGCTTTCGATCGCCGTCATTCGTGGCAATGCTGCCTCCGTGCTTGTCACAACAGTTCCCATAACGCGCCTGCCAGCGCGCATCACCAGGTCGCGCCTAAAGGCAAACAGACCGCGGTGGGCAGGGCTTTACAACCGGAGGCAGCCAAGAACATCCAGCCCGATTGATGGCACGCCTTACTCGCCGCCGTCTGAGCGTGAGCCTCCTACATATTATTCGTCGGGCCGTCCCTGCTCCCGGATCAGCATGACAGCCCGGTGAAGCCAGGCTCAGTGTGTTGCCTTCCGGAGCTGCAGGCCGAGCTGGACAATTCCACTGAGCAACTCGGGAACACCCGGAAGGAGAGGAAGGGGAAGCAGCAAGCCGAGCGGGCGCGTACTAAACAGTGGAACCCGGCGCAGCTCTGCCCGGGCGTCTGCCCAGGCCCGGCCTCCTCCCCCGTCGAGCTGCCCGGGGATCATTAGCTCGAGCGAAAGTGTCAGTAGGGCTTTACAACCGGAGGCAGCCAAGAACATCATCAACCCGATTGATGGCACGCCTAACTCGCCGCCGTCTGAGCGTGAGCCTCCTGCATATTATTATTATAGGCCCGCGACTCGGCCGCTCGACCTTACGGGACCCCGGAACATCAGCAGTACGTGCTTCATGAACGTGGTGCTGCAATGCCTGGCCAACAGCCGCGCCCTGCGTGACTACATCCTACGAGGCGAGTTCTCGAGAGAGATCAACACGACCACCTCCACCAGGAAGGGTGATCTCACTAGAGCATTTGCCACGCTAATTGAAGACCTATGGAAGTGCCCGGATTAGGCTGACCGGGCGTCGACCGGGCGCGGTCCGACTCAGGGCTTTTAACAGCCGGACTCGCAAAAATCCCTCGGATGCCTACTGGAGGGGTTGCACGAGGACGTGATCCATGTCGACAGCTCTCCCAAGCCCGAACCCATCCACATCGATGACAGCCTCAGTGCTAACCAGAAACCGCTGGAGGCTTGGCAGCGTTTCCTGTTCCTGGAGAACTCGAAGTTCGTTGACCTGTTTGTCGAACAGCGCAGTCCACGATGCAGAGTCCGGTGTGTGGCCACACGTCCATGATGTTCGACCCTTTCGGGGATCTGAGCCTGCCAATCCCATCCATGACAGGTCAGGTGCGCCTGCAGGACTGCTTTAGCCTTTTTACCAGGGAACAGGTACTTGACTGAGAAGAAAAGACCGCGTGCTCTATACGCCAGAAGCGCCAAAAGTACTCCAAAAACTTAATTATTCAGAGTTTCCCACGCATCCTTATCGTACACCCGGAACGGTTCTTGCGGCCGCTGGATCCGAACGGGCACAAACTCAATGCCACAGTGGACTTCTCAAAGTGGCCTGGACCTCTCGCCGTTCTCTGCCGTATCAGGTGACTGGGTCTATAAGCTGTACGGCGTGGCACAACATTCTGGTGTGGCACACGCGGGACACTGCACGGCCCACTGTCAATACTCCTATTTGGGAGTCCGCCACGAGTACGACTCCGGAGTCCAGTCCATCCGTAAGCACCGCGCCAAGGCGTGCGAAGCGTACATGCTGTATTTTGTGCTGGCCACCCACTGACCTGGCGCCGACCTGAACGCCAGTACTCGAGGGAATTAGAGAGGTCTGTCCCACATAGAAGAAGCTTGCAAGATAAGTTTATGTTGTTGCATGTACCGTACATAATACACATTATGTAATAAAAAGAATTGGCGTGAAGTTGTCGCGCTGCTCTTTGCGCTAGTCACCACTTGAACGGGGATTCATGGTAAGCCTCAAGAACCCTTATTAAAAGAGGAGCCTCAAAGACCCCCCCCCCCCCCTCTCACCCAGCACTTGTTAAGTTGTGAACGGTTTGACCACGGTGTACATCTTCCTAGCTTTGTGACAATATGAGGCTTCGACCTTGACGGTTCATGATCTATGGCCTCTTTCTCAAGGTCATGTTGGAGACATGTCGTTCAAATTGACATCTGACAGGAAACGCACTCGAGGAGGTTTTTAGGCTATCTTCCTAAACCATATCACACATAAAAGAATCTCCGTCGTTCTGATCACTTTTGCAAGGCTGAGTAATCTAAATTCGCGCTAGGTGGAACCTCGACCTTTGTCATATTTGATCGTTTGAAGGTGATAATATGTAGGAACCGACATCAGTATTAAGTATTTTAGAGTCGAAATTAAGCTGTCAACGTTTTACAACATCACTACGCTTTTTCCCTGCAATTACAACCACCGTCTCCATGGCAACCACCCCGCGCACCTCTACAGGTGCGAACAAAGAAAGCTTGTGATTGGCCCAGCGCGCAAGGTTCCGCTACCAAGAAGCGCGCTGGTTGAAGCTTGGACCAGTGCGTAACACGGGTCGTGTGGGACTCTCACGCCCAAAGCCAGAGGATGCCTGGAAAAGAGCCATTTTGGTGAAGGCCATAGGGTAGAAGTCAAAGCAATAGTATAACGTTTCGATGAATTCGCGGAGTAACAGCTTCATGTTTGCATATCTTTCAATCTAAATAGAGTGTTTGAGGCTAGGAGTTATTAAAAAAAAAAAGTTTTTCACGCTAGTGTGTTGCAAACAGTATAGGTCACATATAACGCAAACATTTTATCACATTAGTGCGTTACAAACATTATAGACCACACACGTCGAAAAAACAAGGCAAATGAAACGCACTACTCTCCTAGTGGTGAGGAGGGATTGAAGTGGGATTTCTCCTACGGGGTCCGCTACTTCCAATACAAGTTCTGAGCTACTCTGAAGGATTTCGAGAAAATTGTCATTACTGATAGACTTGTACGTGTCTGATGTGACAACAAGTAAAACTTAAAAAAGGTGGGATGCTCCCTTTAGCACGTCGTCCCCATTCAATTCTTTTTCAACGCTTCAAGTTGGGTGTCGGTTTGGTCCTGCCGCACAGTGTCCTCTACCCTCCTTCCTCCATTCTCAGCGGCATCTCAGCTGGCCTGGTCCGCCAGTCGCCAGGTGGGTAAGGACGGCTGATTATTCATGCCACCAGGCTGCCGTGGAGGGCGTGAAGCCACCTGGGCTGAGCACGTGCCGGCGGCTGGCGGTCGATATGTTTCGTGTCGCGCGGGTGCGGCAGGACAGGCGGCGAGGAGGGAGGCGGGGGGGGGGGGGGGACAGGGACGGTCAAGTGTCCATCGATTGTGGAGCGCCGCCGGAAACCGCTCGTCCTGGCATTTGGCCAAAGTGCTGAACACAAGCGGACGAAAGTACGGCACTGTCACGGATTCCGCATGTACCATCTTTGTTGTGTGTATAGAAAGTGTGCAATAAGACGGGGCTTAGAGACGCTACCAGGAAGTTGAAAGCGCATCGGTTGAACAGCCCATGCTGACAGATGGATAGCAATGCCTCCCGCCCACTGATTGGTCCCGGAACGCCCACTGATCTGCCCCTGACCTTCGTCTGCCCGTGTCGGGTGTTGATGTCGGGCTGTTGACGCTGGTGTAACCCTCACCATGTTTGGCGCGTCCGGCCTGGGTTCGATCAAGCCTGCTGATAGGCCGGCGCCCTAACGAACCTCTGATGGCCTGCTGATGGTCCCGCAGGGAGCCGGCGATCGTCGCAGTGACCCGCGCTGACCCGCAGGCGGCAGACGGACGGTGAACGGCCGCGGAGGAGCAGCGCCGCTAGAGCTCGGACGATCGCCGCTCAGGTGAGTACCGGCAGACGCGGGCGAGACGCCGTCGACGCAGAGGCGTGGCCGTGGACGTCCGACATTGAGTCAGGAAGTGCATGGGTGTCCATCAAAGCAATGCGGAATCTCGGGCTCATTTAAGACCACGTGCGTGTGTATGCCACCCTGCCCAGTGGCCATGCTTGGCGACACAGTCATGTGTATGAGTCTGTGTTTTAGACTACGTGCGGGTGTATGTCGATATGTCCAGTGTTCATGTCTAGCAACACGGTCACGCTTATGAGTGTATTTTTGTTAACCTGTACGTGTTTTGTGCTCTTTGACTGGTCTGTTCTGGAAGCCGAGGATGTTTTCACAACCAAGGGACGCGGATGGAGGGACAAATCAAGATCCGTGGGGTCATGCGGCCACATCACTGTGTCTGTATAAATAGACATGTGGAAAACTTTCATTTTAAGACGAAAATGGGGACGGCTTGGACACGTTTTTGTAACCCTTTGATTGCATACTACCCAGACCACAGCGTTTGCACCCGTGCTGACAGTGTGCCTGGTGACGGCTGTGTGGCTCGCGCGTGACAGGTATCGTTCCTTAACCCTCACACCGCTGGCGCCGACGCCCCGTTGCGCTGCGTGCACACTTAAGCCGTTAGTGCGTATGGTAAGTGCGTGTGTAAGAATACGTATGTGTGCATATGATGCGGATGTAAAACAGAATAATTGAAAATTATGCGTTGAGCGATTCAGGACACACCTGATGCCTGAGGGCAAGTGTGTTAGGGGTTGAGCAGTGCAAAATGGCTAAACCCCTTCAACATACGCATCTTCTAGAATTTGGTCCGCTTTCTTTGCCTGGTTAGGAGAGTTCCCACCCCTCCGCCTTCCTCTGGATGCAGCCAAGAGAGGGCCCCGCCTGCGCTTCCCGTTTTGGCTCGGATCTTTTTCGCCCTAGATGGCTCTCGACTTAAAGTTAAGAACCGGTGTGATGCATACCCGCCGAAATCCGCCTTCCGCCGTAAGAAATTCCTGGCTGCCCCCCTGCGCTCCCCAAGTGAATAGGAAGCTGCGCTGCCTTCCAGTTTGATAACATGACGGGCGCCGTGCTTCATCCGCGCACTTCGTCAAACCGCGTCATTAAGTGCCATTCAATGATGACATGAGTACATAGGCGATAAAGGTATGACGTAGACGATATCTCGAAGACGACCGAGATGTCCGCCGCCGGTGTCCAAGCGTAAGGCGGTGGGTTCGAAAGCTCCTCAGTCCTTACAGTACTGCCATTGGTTCCCTGTGCTAACGCCGTATGTTAAACACATTTGTGGTTTTTCCTTCTTCTCACTAGGGGTGTTGAGAATTCCTGCCGAGTGCAGGGACAGAAATCCCTAGCATCCAACGAAAGGCAAATTTGACCGCGCTGGCAGCATGGTGGGCCAGCCGCCGTGCTCCTGATCGGCGTGCCTGTAGATGGCGCAGCGGGGTGTGCAGGGGGCGCTGCTTGCCTGCATTAATGACACCGATCCTCCGCGGCCGACCGGTACCGATAGCTGGGTGGGGTCCGTTGGTGCTGATTTCCAGTTTCCACTTAAGCCTCTGATGATACATCGGGGAGGTTTGCCTTCGTGCCAGCCCCTCAGATTATCAGCAGTGATTTTATCCCCACAACGCGAAACAGAAGGGACGATGAGTATCGAGAGTCTGTCATGTTGCCACACATCCGCTACTTGTATCCAGGTGGCGTCCCGATCGCTGTGCCGCCCTCACAACCGATGGCAGCGCCATCTTTAACAGCCAATCCTCCGAACCTCCGTGCCGCACATTTGATATTTATCAAGTCCAGAGGGTCTGGCTTTGATGTCAGTGCTGTTGCTTTCTGAATGCAGTCACGTTGCACACGTCCAGAGGCGACTCGGCGAGCTTCTTGCAAAGAACGTTTTCCTTTGTGCAATGGTAATTTTGCTGCGCTGAATACCGTACGTTGGTTTAGCACCTGGCGACAAACGTCTTTCACTAATGGGTTTATTTGCAACCGTCAGATGTCGTCGGCTTGTGGTTCATGTTGCATGAACACGCCAAGCTCTTCTACCTTAGCATGGCAACGTCGGTAATTAAAGCCGTTCGAAGCGCATAACCCATGTTACCTACCATTACATGAACTTGGAACTTCGCTTGACGCCTCGCTGTCATCGGCTGGAGCCGCTGAAAAACGCGTTCGTATAGTTATTGCCCCAATTCAGTCTGTAAACGCTCGTGTAAAAACTTCTCCCCTCCCAAGTGCCCTCTGTTCCTCGGTCACCGTCTCATTCCGTATTCTGGAAACCCCTTACATCATCGAAGGCGCCCGGCCATCAGCATAAGTCGGCCTCCCCGTCGTCCTGGCTGGAAACTCCGCCCGTCGCCTGCACGGACGTCGACGTAGGGCGCTGTGTGGGGTGAGCCTAAGCAGCAATGATGATGCGGAGTCACTGCGGTTCTGTGTCATCTCGCCCGTTTCTCGGTGGTTCCGTACCTCTCAAGTTGGCAATCAATACCCAGACTTAGTGAGCTTCAAGTTTGAGGAAATTTCACCCGGACGTGAAGGGCGCCGCGGTCATCAAATGTGGATAGTCGTTAAGTTTTTTTTGCTAAATAGCGGCGCACCGCGGTGCCGTAATAAAACACTGAGACCAAGGGATGGTGCTTACGCTTATAGGCCGCGAGGCGATTATGCGGCTTCCCTTCCTGAAACAGACCCCGATCTTCCGCATGTAACTTAACTGCAAATAAGTCAGAGTATTATTAAAGCTACGCTTCTGACCATGAAATCCACTATCTTGATGATTATTACCATTGTAACGAGAACAATTTTGCATACTTGTTAAAGAAAACGGCTCCTGAATCCAAAGCATTGCCTTACACGGCAATACGGCCCACTTGACCTCACCAACAATTCAACAACAAATTATGTGTTCTACGTACACATGATTACACATCATGCACATCAACATGCACATCATAATAGAGATTGTTCCAATATGTCTTACTATTGCTATAGTAATATATATAGATATAGATATAAATATATATATATATATATATATATGTATATATATGCAGATAAATTCATATATATACATATATATTCATCTATCGTCCATCTATACGTTCCTGTTGGCCATACCCCTCCACCCAAAAGCTGCTACCATGCGATTTGTGCCATTTTAATTAATTTATTTCGGGAGCCAATGCAGCTTGGTGAAGAAAAAACGATCCATTTAAACGTGCAAAGAGCGGATGGGCATTATCAAATTGCACCAAACAAGTGCCCACGGGCGGTCATTTTATACCGCTGTCTACAACTGGAGCAGGCGTCATAAACAATGCAAATGTCACGCACGATACCTGCATTTCCTTAAAAGGCCCTCTTGGCTACGCCCACAGCGTACAACCGCAGTTCAGACTCGACAATGACGTAATGGAAATGAAGCGGGTCCAAATGTAAAAAGCTGCCATGATAGACGCTTCGACTTGTGGCAGTCACGCCACCGTCATTGGCCGAGTATTCGGGACAATTTACGAGCCCAAAGCTGATCATGGTTTTCCTGTGACTGCTGTGACATACGGATTACAATGTGCCCCAAACGCGGTTTTGCCTCATCATCCACCCACCCGCTGTAATCCGTAAGATTTTGCAACCGGGGATATTTATGCCAGCACCGCACACGTTTTGGAACATCTTCACAACAAAAAGGCACGCTGGACGCATCGTAATTATATGCTGCAATTATATTCAAGCATGGTTTTTGATGCTACCGAGGGGAAGCGCTGGGTAAACACCATATTGATTTACTCGGATGTCAATCAATCGGATAGACAGATAGATTCAGATATAGATCGGATATCGGATAAATAGATGTTGGATAGATAGATATCGGATGGATAGATAGATTAGTGAATAGCTTTATGTTGGGATGAACAGAGTCGGGAGTCTAATCAGTGGCTATTCAAAATACGATCACCCGAGTCCAGCAAAGTGAGTGCAAAGGCACAATGAATTGATTCGAACTTCACGTTTCAGAGTGCGTCGTTCGAAATACTTGGCCACCTGTTTCAATTTGACGGTGAGGGAAGCACATGTTCTATCAAAGCCTGCCAGCACAGCGCCCGTGAATGGCGCCCGATTGCCAAACACTGGGACGTAATAAGACAAAACGTCCTCTTCACCTGGGTGCCCAAAAACTTACCCAAGGTATGAATATTGCCTCGTCACTAAGTTTTCTGGTCATTACCCGGCCGCTACCTGTAAAGTTTCACATGCATTGCAACTTCCTCCTATAACCCCATGGCCTCATCCAACAGCACCTAAAAAAGGGGAGTTCCATAGCTTAACAGGTACCCCCTACCCATATCGAGCCAACAACTGACAGCAGGCCCCCTTCCCCGCCTAAGACTCCGTAGGTGAGTCGTTAATCTCATGCTCCACAAATGTTCTAGCTGCGTCATTGGTACAGTTATCTACGAAGGAGGAAAAAATATTTTCCTGTAAATTCCTTACTTGCTGGTCCCGGTAAACGGAAAAAAGGAAAGCATGTTGGACGTCATGACGTTTGTACCTTAATGTTACATGTGATGAATTATAAATGTTTGATTAAACCTAGATCGATATTTTGTATTTGTGGTTGTCAATTTGTTAAGTCATTACCCCCACGACTTTCTGTTCGCGGCTCCGCTCTTGAAGTGTTTGCACAGACACTGGGCAAGGTCCTCGAGGCATATGTTGTCGCGTCATACCTCCCTGTCTTGTTACTCTGATCCTGTTTCTGCCAAGACACTTTTAATAATGGCGGATGCCTGCAGCATCAGCTCTGTACGTTCAGACTTTCAGCAACATTATTTCTTGATTCAGTTACTCTTGAAGTCCAGGACTCGAGACTAGGGTGTTGAGGCCGTGGCACATATTAATATGCGGGGTTTTGTATGGAATATAACGTGAGTTATAAACGTTGGTCGTCAGTCATTGGTTTATCGATTGAAACAGATTCA